TGAGATTGCGTTGGTTCAGCCAATCTCTGGCGGGAGTACTTTTAGCTTAGCATAAATCACTAAATCAGATCATTGAACCAAGAAAATATCTACTTTGACTTTCTGTTGGTCTTAGTACACAATGTAACTACAGTACAGTACAGTCAAGCTTTAAATAGCAAAATTATCAACACTCTTTTTTTTTTTTATTTGGAGTGAAATGCTAATAGTCTAATCCGATTCAATGATCTATGCTAAGCTAAGCTAAAATGGTAAGTGGTAAAACTCACCTATTTAACTATAGAAGAGTTTAGTCTTAAGAAATTAGTCTTGAAATAAAATTAGTGAAGTGTTCCTTTAAAAGCAGCAAGCTGACTTTAAAAAAGGGAGTAAACTCTTTTTAACTTGTAACTGTTACACTGACTTCATTTTAAGGCAATGTGTTACTCATTTTTTTAAGCCAAGTCAACTAATCACTTTAAAAACAATGGGTTTCCTCACTTTTTTAACAGTAAAGTCAAATAATCGCTTCTTACAGTGTTCTGAACCAGGTAGAATTCTAGTTCGACTAGAATTACAGTATATTGCAACTGGTTGCAGAATTTGCTAATCAACAGCAGCCTAACTGAATGGTTGTTAGTTTAGTCATTGGCTGGCTGATTGTACAGCTTCGCTTATCAAACCCTGAAAATAAAGACAATAATGTCAAGTTCAAAGCTTGTGTATATGCATATGCGTGCTTGTGTCTTTTGGTGAACGTAAGACCACCCAAACTGTAGCTAAATTAATCTACAAAAAAAAAAAAAACTAAACTTAACTGACTCTGAGAAAGATATTCAAGTGATATTTAGAGCGCTGATTTAAGCCCTGCTGTCTATTTCTGTGGTTAAATCGTCCAATGAGGTCTACACTAACTCTAAATGAATTGATTCTCATAGGGCATTTGCTAATTTTTAGGTAGATTTTTTTTTTACTTTGCTTTGATGTCTATTTATTTATGGTAATTGTATTGATTTAGGTAGCTAGTTAGTTATGTTTCAGCCAGTACAAGTGCTTGTTTAAAAAACAGCTTCAATTACGTCCTGCATGTTTGCTCTGAAACCCATTTTTAAAAGGGGTAGTTCACCCAAAACTGAAAATGTAGTCCTTATTTACTCATCATTGAACTTGTTCCAAGCTTGACTTAGTTTCTTCTGTTGAACACAAAGAAAGCTGAAAACCTGTAACCATTGACTTCCACAGTATTTGTTTTTCCTACACTCTCAGAAAGAAAGGGGCAGGAGCTGTCTTTGGGGCAGTACCTTTTCAAAAGTACATATTTGTACCTGAAGGGTCCATAATGGTACCTCAAAGGTACTTTTTAGGTACATTTGGGTACTAATGTGCAACTTCGAGGTACCATTGTGGACTCTTTGGGTACAACTATGTACCTTTTGAAAAGGTACTGCCTCAGAGACAGCTCCTATACCTTTATTTCTGAGAGAGTACTATGAAAATCAATGGGTCTAGAGAGTCAAATTCAGTTCCTGGAGGGCCGCAGCCCTGCACAGTTTAGTTCCAACCCTGCTCCAACACACTTATCTGTAGATTTCAAACAATCCTGAAGTACTCAATTAGTTAGATCAGGTCTGTTTAAGTAGAGTAACTTAACTGTGCAGAGCTGCGTCTAGGGTTTAGAGCAGGGGTGTCCAAACTCGGTCCTGGAGAGCCGGTGTCCTGCATAGTTTAGCTCTAACTTCCTTCAACACACTTGCCTGGAAGTTTTAGTATACCTAGAAAGAGCTTGATTAGCTGGTTCAGGTGTGTTTAATTGGGATTGGAACTAAATTATGAAGAACACCGGCCATCTAGGATCAAGTTTGCGCACCCCTGGTTTAGAGTATAGGTCTGAAACTTGATTTCTAGAGGGCTGCAGCTCTGCATTGTCTTGCTCCAATCCTAATCAAATACAACTGATCAAAAAATAAAAAAATAAATCAAGGTGTTCAAGACTACAAGAGACTATTAAGCAGGTGTGATTTGGAGGTGGTTGGATCTTCTGTGCAGAGCTGTGGCTCTCCAGGAATGTAGTTTGAGACCATTGATTTAGAGGTATTTGAGTTTTTTCAAAATACCTTCTTTTGTGTTCATCTGAAAAAAGTAACTCACAAACTTATTGAAGGTAAGTAAATTGTGAGTAAACTGAATTTTTTTGGTGAACTAACCCTGTAATTAATAATCAATATATTTAAGGAAGTAACTATCGCTTTTAGCAGCTGCATAATTTAGTATCGATCCGTCTCTAATAATATGTTATGTAAATAGCTACATGTAATAATACATTCAGCCGGTTAATATCACACAACAAACCCCTTTGATCTTCTGTGATAATCACAAAAACCTGCTGACTGTACATTATTCCTTACTGAACTAAAAAGTCATGTATTTTAGGATGCAGTCATTAACTGGATTTCATAGCACTAACTGTTTAATCTTACTTTCTCTTCTCACAGCTCAAAACAGCATGGAAATGTTCTATGATAGACCTTAATCAGGTAGACAACGTAGTTCACCTTTACTTCAATGGAGACAAATTAATCTGGGATACATAATAGCGATCAGTTCAATGGAGTAGCGTAGCATGGGCATATACCCGCAAATGGGCATGCTCTGATTGGGGCAAATGATTTAAAAAATGTAGGCCACAATAAATACTTTTTAGGCAACGCAGTGGCGCAGTAGGTAGTGCTGTCACACCACAGCAAGAAGGTCTCTGGTTCGAGCCTCAGCTGGGTTAGTTGGCGTTTCTGTGTGGAGTTTGCATGTTCTCCCTGTTTGCATGGGTTTCCTCCAGGTGCTCCGTTTTCCCCCACAGTCCAAAGACATGTGGTACAGGTGAATTGGGTAGGCTAAATTGTCCGTAGTGTGAGTGTGAATGAGTGTGTGTGGATGTTTCCTAGAGATGGGTTGCGGTTGGAAGGGCATCCGCTGCGTAAAAACGTGCTGGAGAGGTTGGCGGGTCATTCCGCTGTGGCAACCCTGGATTAATAAAGTGACTAAGGCGAAAAGAAATGGAATAAATATTTGTTGTTTCACCATCATTTAGAATTTTTCCATAATTCTTTTGTCTGCTTTTCTTATTTTTTCCTCCCTGTGGCTGCCTTTTGTCATCATTTTTACTTGCAAATGCCAAAAATATTACATATTATAATAAAAGATTAATCCCCAGCTAACAGCCTTAAATGGTGGACACTTATAAACATAACATTTGGGGTCTTAAAAAAGAAAGACAAGATGGAATAGTTAGTCACAATACAAGAAACTACCCTAAATAGACTGCTTTTTTTGTGCGGCTCTAGTGCGACTGACACTGATGTCGAAAGTGATACAGTAATATGTAACAGAACAGAACTACACTACCTGACAAAAGTCTTGTCGCCTATCCAAGTTTTAGAAACAACAAATAATACCTTGACTTCTAGTTGATCATTTGGTATCAGAAGTGGCTTATATGAAAGACAAAGGCCTCTAGTTTACGCTTGTTTTACCAAAATAAAATAGGGTCATGGCTTGATTTTTTTATTATTTAATCAGGACAGTAAGGTCTGACTTCGCTTAGACTAAAGTCTTGTCACTTCACTGAAATAATGTACAATATAGAATATACAGTCATGCAGCAGTGGTAAAATAATTAATATTGTGTTTGACTCTCATGAGCTTGGACGACTGCGTCCATACATCTCTGCAATGACTTAAATAACTTATTAATATAGTCATCTGAAATGGCAAAGAAAGCGTTCTAGCAGGACTCCAAGAGTTGATCAAGATTCTTTGGATTCATCTTCAAAGCCTCCTTCTTCATCTTACCCCAGACATGCTCAATAATGTTCATTTCTGGTGACTGGGCTGGCCAATCCTTGAGCACCTTGACATTCTTTGCTTTCAGGAACTTTGACGTGGAGGCTGAAGTATGAGCAGGAGCGCTATCCTGCTGATGAATTTGCCCTCTCCTGTGGTTTATAATGTAAGGGGCAGCACAAATGTCTTGATACATCAGGCTGCTGATGTTGCCGTCCACTCAACAGATTTCTTGCACGTCCTTCACTAAACTTGACTAACTACTGTGAGAATCTTGGGTCCATGCGGGTTCCAATAGGTCTACTGCAGTATTTGTGATGATTGAGATGCAGTTCAACAGTTGATTCATCTGAAAAATCCACCTTTTGCCACTTTTCCAAATGATCAACTAGAAGTCGAGTCCCATTTGTTGCTCTTACAAATGGGATTGATGACAAGACTTTTGTCAGGTAGTGTACAGTCTAGCTGTTCCTTCTATCGAGAATCTAGTGACATTGCACTGAAAGAAAGCCCTGGAGATTGTAACTGAAATGAGCAAGTAGGGTTTTTTTATTTTTATTTTGGGCCACTGTGCCAATTTTGTTTGAGTTTGCATGCAGTATTTTATTACATAAATATTGGCTGAAATATATATATATATATATATATATATATATATATATATATATATATATATATATATAAATATATGAAATATGAAGTCCCAGTCTGCTTGTAAAAAAGTTGTTGGGTAGAGTGTATTTTAATTGTATAGTTTGATATGTTTTAAATGTCCCGTCAAATATTTTTAAAAAATGTATCCGGTCACTGACTTGCTACGCCACTGGTTTAATAAGTCACAATGTTAACTGGATTTTCTTTTTTTTCTTCAGGTGTTTATATAAAATTGTATTATGAGCTGACAGCAATTAATGTAAGATTAAAATCCATTGAAGAGAGTGCACTACATGTCTACCACAAATAAGGTCCATGAAGACTGTGATTCTACACTAGGATATTGATGAAAATTAGTCTTAAAATGTTTTAGAACGGGGGTCTTGTTAACTGAGGTCCAAAAAAATTCACAAAAAAATGTGGAACAATAGTATCAACAGCGCTGAGAAAAAAAAAAAAAAACTAAAAACGAAACTAAATTTCAAGTAATCAAATCCAGATAAATAAATAAATTTGTTGAAGCAATGCTTATTATCGATTGCGTCATTTGCATTTATCTATGTACTGGTCTCTTGGGTGAACTTGTAGACATGGTGGCTATGCCCTCTCAATCTAGCAGAACACAATACTAAACATGGCTCTTTCTTTACATTGTGTCATAAGTACAAAAAAAAAATCTTTACAAATCCATTGTACCTACTGCTACCATGGACAAGGCAGATTAGAAATTCGAACCCCATTGTTCCTTGGGTGTTCTTAGCCCGGGCTTCACAGTGTGCTGTCCTTGAAACAATCTTCCGAAACATGGAGAGAGAAAAAAATAGAAAGTCAACAACCAAATGGACTGGAGCTGGGACTGAAGATGACAGCAGTTAAAGAGATTCCAGTTTGTTGATCTAGCTCCTGAAAGACTGCGACCCACAGCGGAGTTCCCAGAGGGTTTAGTGGTTTTTATTTCACTGAACTCAACAGACTCCTCTGTTCAAGGCACCGTTCCTATAGGATCTGGTGGGAATGTCAGGCCATGTTTTGCTTGCACTCGTGTTTAAAGGAATAGTTGCCTCAAAAATAAAATGTATATCCTTGTTGTTCTTCATTATCACCATTGAAACCATCTTTTTTATAATGAGGGTAAATGTGAACTGTGTTTGTTAGACATTTTTTAAACAAAGCTATCACATTTTTTTAGTACTCTAAACTTAAATTTTCATGGTCTCCAACTCTTTTGAATCCAACCTTCTTTAGGTCTTAAGGCCTGTTCACACTAAGGAAGATAACTACATATAGGTAGAACCAAAATGACTATATTTGTGTCCATCCAAGCAAACAAGAGCGATCTGCTTACTTTTGCCTTAAACTTTTCTTTTTGCATTACCGCCAAATAACCAGCAGATGTCCTCAGTGTGCTGTTCAAATTAAACGAAGAGTTTAGAAATCGCAGGAAAATAAACTGTATATTTTTTTCTCAGGATTTTTAAAAGTGGCAACAAAGATGCAAAATTTAGCAATGGATATTTAGGGTACTTTTATTTTATACTTCAATTTGCTAGCCTGGCTTGCATAGCCTCCATGCTATTTAACACTGCTCCCATGTTGTTTTCAAAATGGACGTTATCTTTAAATAATCTTTGAAAAGAGGGATTAACATCAAGCAGGGTGTGCTTCTCCACAATGTGAGAACACCTTTGAGACCTTTAAATTTTGTTTATGAATTCTGACTGCTATCACTGTTTTAGAAGTTCTGAAAGTCATTCTTGATGATATAATTTATGTACATCTTTAGCATTATAACTGTGTTCTGAAGTCTTTTTTTAATATTTATCTTTATAATTACCACCCTTTGTTGTGATGAGGCCTTTAGTCCTTACTCAGACCTTTTAGAACTAAAATAAAATGGTCTTCCCTGCGGAACAAAACAGCCTGAATCAGCCTAAGCTGGTTGGCTGGTTTTAGCTGGTCAGCCAGCCTGGTTTTGGAGGGGTTTTGGCCATTTCCAGGCTAGTTTCCAGCCATTTTCAGCCTGGTCTTAGCTGGTCAGGCTGGAAAATGACCAACTAAAACCACTTAGGTAGCCAATAATTCTGGTCCAGATTTGGCATAAAGCTAGCAAAGCAAGCATTTGTCTGGCACTGGCATACATTGGCCAAGGTGGCACCAGCTTACAGGCGGCACTCAAGACTTGGGCCAGATATCAAATGTAGTATTTGGCCCAGATGTTAAAAATGTATACGTGGGCCACGTAAGTTTGGTCTATCTTGACCCACTTTTTAAATAATTTAAGTTAGTTTTGAGTAAAAAAATAAAAAAAATAAAAAAATAATTATATATCAATCGGGTCGCTTTAAGAAAAAGCACAGCCGTAAAGCGAAATGCTTCATAGGTTTATAAAAAACATTGCAGTCATGACACACCAACATATCTGGCCCAGTTCAGGCCCAGTTATGGGTTATTAACTTGGCAGAGTCTTGGCCCAGATATGGTCTATGTTTGCCTCTTGTACGGAAGCCAGACTTGGTTCAGTCATGTTCCGTAATTCACTGCGGCATGTGGCCCAAGCAAATGCTGATGGTGTGGGCCAGATATGGGCCAGAGATTTTTTGCTATGGGGGCAGCATGACCAGCCTGATATGAGCTGGACATACATGTAGCTGGTTTTGGCTGGACTCCCAGTCTGGCAAGGCTAGTCAAGCTGGTTTTAACTGGTCCTCTCCCAGCCTGACCAGCTTAGTCCAGGCTGGAAATGGCTGGAAACCAGCCTGGAAATGGCCAAAACCCCTATAAAACCAGGCTGGTTTAAGCTGTTTTTTATAGTAGGGTTGACTGTAAGGTTTCAATAAAACGGACTTGAAATACAGCATTTTTGGATGTCAAATACATATGTCTCCTGTGTTCTACAAAACAAAGATTATGTGGTTCTGGTGCAACCTCGTAAATAGCTAAAATAACCCAGTTTTATTTTTGAGGTAAACTATTCCTTGAAGGAGTGACGTGTCATGTCTGGGTATGGCCAGCAGAGAGCGCTGCAGGCTATGCTTTGTGATAAAGCAGAAACTAAACAAGACCCAAAACATGAGAGTTTTGTGCTCAAAACGACGAGCATTTTAAAAAAAGAAAGCAAGTGTACATCTAAATAATTGAATTATGGATGAAAGTGACAGAAAGCGAAAAATTCAACGGTCGGCAGTGTCTTTTCACAGTACTGAAACCACCAATCTGTTGTCCACATTCTAGAATCTGCTTGACTTTTTTTTTTTTTTGAAAGTAACAATTGTTATAGCTTGGTTGTTCCTGGTTCATGAGTGCAAAATAAAATCAAACGTGATTGATAAGTGTTTTGCTGGCCATTTCCAAACCACTATCACATCTGCACGATTAAGACCTGAAGGCGGATCCTGAAGGCTTCCTCTGGATGATTGTCCTGAGAACCTGCCCTGGCCACGGTTGAGTGTGCGGGTGGCTGAGAGGTTCATCTAACACACAAGCTTAATTTCCTTAATTCTTGCCGGCCCTGTTTGTGTATCAATTTTTTTTCCCTCTCTCTCTTTCTCCTTGACTTGCTCTCAAAGTGTGCTTTTCTCCAGCCAAGCAGCACAGCATTACACCACAGCACACGTCGTCTGAATGTTTGTCTTTAGGCGAAATCAGGCATATGGAGGTCATAAGGCCACAGTGGTGCAGGGGTGTTTCAGTTTGCAAGGCAGAACTCCTCTGTTGAGCGTGTAAAACTCCACCAACTGGATTAGGTCTGTGAATTTGACGGCGCCGTCATCGAGACTCAAGAACATTTGACCATCTTCTTCACACTGGAAAAGGAAGGTTTGGGATTTGAGAAATTTCAGCGTTATGGATGTGACATTTGCAGTAAAATCTCAAAACATAAATGCACATGGAATGTAGTCTATATGTTCACATTATATTGAAACGTCTGTTTATAATTTCCAAAACAACTAACCACAGAGTTATGGGATCAAAAAGATATCATATGACGATTATTGAAAGAAGAAACAATGCTAATCAAACGGATAAGAGTTGGCTCTCTATAGAACTAAAATGATTCTTTTTATTTTACATTTTTGCCTTTATGAGGAAAAAGTTTTGTTATGAATGTAACGCCTTTCCGCTATGGATTTGACAGATCAGAAATTGCCATTTGTGTGACTTTGGTAAATCAAATATAATTGTGTCAAAACATTGACAGAGACATTTTTTAATAATTTTACAGTACTTTAAATTACAAGCTTACACAAAAATGTTTTCATGGCAAGGTTGACAATTGCTTGGAATTGCTCATTTATCTTCTCTGTCAGGCTGCATTTTTAATTCATGCAATTTAATTACACAATGCATTCTCTGGTCAGTCGACTCCAGCAGAGCTAAAAGCTTCTCCGAGCATGTTAATTGAAGTCATGCCGGCATATTTTTAGCCAGATACCTGGTTAATAACACAGTTTAAAGGCACAACCTTTAGAAGTTTGCTTCTACTCTCGAGTGGAGTATTGAGGTTTGTTACTTGTAAGTTAAATACTTTGTGTTGTTTGTACTGAACTTATTTATTTATTTATTTATTTGTTTGTTTGTTTGTTTGTTTGTTTGTTTGTTTGTTTGTTTATTTATTTATTTATTTACTTATTTATTTATTTATTTAACTTATTTTTTTCTTCATATTCATTCTCAAAAAAGTTAATAGTAGAACTATTTTGGCAATACATTAAGAACTGCCATATGTTGATCTTGGGAAATTTTCACAACACATCTACAGGCTAAAAGTACTATCTAACCTGCCCATTTAAGATGAAATCATATAAATAATTGGTGTTCTCTCTAGTTACTTTTCTAGTTACACTGTGTAGTAAGACCAATGAAAAATGAAAAGTTGCTATTTGCTAGGTCGATATGGCTAGGAAGGCGATGCAGTGGCACAGTAGGTAGTGAGGTCACCTTACAGCAAGAAAGTTGCTGGTTCAAGCCTGGGTCAGTTGCGTTTCTGTGCATGTTCTCCCTGCGTTTGCGTGGGTTTCCTCCGGGTGCTCCGGTTTCCCCCACAGTCCAAAGACATGCGGTATAGGTGAATCGGGTAGGCTAAATTGTCCGTAGTGTATGAGTGTGAATGAATATGTGTGTGGATGTTTCCCAGAGATGGGTTGCAGCTGAAAGGGCATCCGCTGCGTAAAAATGTGCTGGATAAGTTGGTGGTTCATTCCGCTGTGGCGACCCCGGATTAATAAAGGAACTAAGCTGAAAAGAAAATGAATGAATGATATGGCTAGGGACTACAGTAAACTTGCTTTCTGTTGTAATAATCAAGGAACTCTGCTGCCGTACCATGGCTGTAGCAGGCACAATGATATTACGCAGCACCTAAAATAGTGCAAGGTAACACTGCTGCATGATATCACTGCTGTCATGGTATGGAAACAAAATTCCTTCATTATTACAACCGTATAGTTATAGATAGTATAGTTCGAAGCCATATCAACATAGAAAATAGCAACTTTCATTTTCTGTCGGTTTTAGTACACAATGTAACAGCAGAAGAGTTACATAGGAAAATGTCTTTTTTTTTATGTTTTAAGCAAATCGCTAATGGTGTAGTCTGATTTAATTATTTGTGCTAAGCTAAGCTAAGCTAAAAGTGCTCTCGCTAGACCCAGAGATCGGCTGAATGGATTAAAAATGGTAAAACTCATCAGTTTAACTCTAGAGGAGCCTTCCTTTAATAATTCTCTCTATGCTTCACTAAAAGGTATAAGCAAGTAAACATGCTGTGTGTGAATGAAATGATCAAATCTTACCAGCAATATTTGAAAATGTTTGATTTTCTGGTGGTGACACAGTGTAAGTACAAACGCCTTAGGATTGCTCTGGCTGTCCCTCAGGAGAAACATTCTGTAGCACAAAAAAAGTCACGTTGAAGTATCTATCGCACAGTCAAGAGAATCAACCAGCATGTTTTTTTGAGAATAACTAATGAGATGCTATGATATGTACCCATCCACTCTGCCCTGCTGATGGATCAGCTTGTGGGATTCTTCCCGTGAAATACGACCGTGAAACCACAGCTGAGTTCTGTGGATAACTGGATAAGAAGTGATAGAGAATGCCTTTAAGACAAGGGGAATGTGCATCTCTCTAATGCTCAGCATAGTCAGTGCCATGCCATCTATCCTTCAAAAGAATGTACTGTGATGTATACCTTTAAATTACAGAATTTAATCTGCATGACTTTAAGACAGCAAAGTACAATTGTTTTAATCTTTTTATTAGGGATGCATAGATTTTTTTGAGCCGATACCAATTTTAACAAAAACAATTGTGGAGACCCTCATACAGATACTGGTTAGTTGCATACAGCATTATAGTGCTAGCTTTTTTCTTCGTTAAATTGGTTTTAGCGAATATGGATTGGATCCATTAAGCATTCAACTGTCAGACATTTTAGGTAAGATAAAAACAAATATAATGTCAATCTTTAAAGTTTTAGATTTTTACTATTCATTAAGTTTTTTTGCTAAAACTTAATGATTTTGCCCTGAGAAAAAAAACTATTGTATTATTCAAAAGACGTATTCAGTGTGATTAATAAACATCAGTATTTGTACTTTATTATTATTTATACTTTAAATAGCAATAGCGCTTTAAATTAATCTAATATCGCCCAAAAGATATCAGCGGCTGACACATCGCTGCATCCCTAGTTTCATAATTTTACTTTTATTAATAATAACTTTCGACTTTGACCAACAACCATCAAAAACGTTATTATAAGTAAATATTTACATTCTTACAAATGTACTTTTTACCTGTCTATTCAACCAAGAATCTGCATAAAATGTACAAAGACTTGTTGTGTACAACTATTTTCAAACTTTCTAGAGGATCAGCAAATCAGAATGATCACATGACACTAAAAAATAAAATAAGCTTTGTTCTTACAAGATGTAATTATATTTTACTGTACATTGTAATACTACTTTACATTATTGCTGTCCGAGCAGAAAAATACAGCCTTTTTAAGGATAAGAGACCACTATTGATAATAATAAAACATTTTACCTAACATACTGGTATATTTGCATATTTAACCATATATTTAAGTGTTAAATAAAATATTATAGTCATAATAAAGCATGATTAAATACTGACTGATATTTCAAAATGCTCCAGAAAGTACCTCCGCTTAATGATGAGGGGTGTAAAGAACTGGGGCTTCCTAAAATATTCATACGCTGCTGGCTTTTCTTCTGAAAAAAGAAAAACACAGAGACAAAAAAAAAAAAAACACAGTCAGTAAAGTCCTTGTGAAATCCAAATTTACAATGTTTATTCTGTTAGAGCACATTTTTATTTTTTAGGGGAACAATTAATCAGTGCAAGTTAATCCACTGGAAAAAAAGAAAATGGCTGCAGCAGGTGCAATGATATTATGCAGCGCCTGAAAATAGTTCTGAAACGTCTCTCACGAATGTCTCTATGGTTGCAAGGCACGCTTCCTGTGCAAGCAGGTGGTCACATTGGTTATATTGAAAGAAGTTTGATTTTCAGGGGCTGCATAACAACATTGTGGCCACTTCAGCCATGGTATGGTAGCAAAGTTCTTTTATTATTACGCCAGAGTGAGAGTAAGTCAACCTAGCCAACTCAACCTAAAAAACAGCAACTTTTTCTCTTTAATTGATATTAGTACACGATGTAACTACAAAAAGATCAAGCTTTTAATGAGAAAACTATCAAAACTCTTTAGTCATTTTTGAATAAGATGCTAATGGTCTATGCTAAGCTAAGCTAAAAGTGCTAAGCTAAGAGTCCCAAAAAATGTTGTTTGTTCCACCCTGCAGAAAAATCCAGCTTAAACCAGCCTAGGCTGGTTGACCGGTATTAGCTTGTCGACCAGCCTGGTTTTAGAGGGGTTTTGGCCATTTCCAGGCTGGTTTCCAGTCATCTCCAGCCTGGTGTTAGCTGGTCAGGCTGGGAAATGACCAGCTAAAACCAACTTGACTAGCCTAGCCAGGCTGGGAGTCCAGTCAAAACCAGCTATTTCCAGCTTAAACCAGGCTGGTCAAGCTGGTTTTAGCTGGATTTAGCAGGTCATTTTCTAGTCTGACCAGCTAAGACCAGGCTGGAAATGACTGGAAAGCAGCCTGAATATGGCCAAAACCCCTCTAAAACCAGCCTGGTTGACCAGCAAAAAAACAGCCAACCAGCCTAGGCTGGTTTAAGCTGGATTTTTCAGCAGGGCAAATGTCCTTTTATACTGTTATACTCTAGGGTAGTTGAAAAAAATGAGCTTATTTCCAAAAAAAGTGGAGTGTTTTTTTAACATGTAACTTAAATGACCAAAAAATATTATTGTAACTCACTCTCCAGGCATGTCCCTCCTCCATGGCAGCACTCTGTGCCTCCACAGGATTGTCGATCACTCTGCCTATCCTCCCTGAGAAATCCATGGCAACCAGAGAGCTCTCTGAAACACTCCTCTGGAAAATAAGATCACACAGTGACAATGACTTTGTTTGCTTTGTTGCAGGTGTGTTGTCTTATGACAATGATCTAGTCTCTTATGTCTTCTACTCTTCCATTTACAGTACATTCGATCATATGGCAGTAGATTAAATATAGAATATAAAGAGTCGTGCAATACTAAAAACATTTACACATATCAAAACATGCATGCTAAATGCAGACATATTTTGCATCTCTGTGCTCATTTATTATAGAATCGCTGCATAATATCCATAGAACAAGCTGTAATAATAACTTTACTGCCAACACTCGAACAATCATTCCATAATGTGACATCATGGCCCACATACTGACACGTGTGATTAATGCTCCATCTGTGAGGTACAGAAACTGAATGCAGGAGTAGGTTCAAAGGAGTCTTACCACAGGCGCTGAGAAGTGTGAAAGCAACGTTTTTCTCTGCTGGTGGATCTTGTAATTTTGATAGAGTAAAATTCCATACTATAGTGAAGAAAGGAGAGAAAAAAAAGTGTTCCCGAGTTGAAAAACATATTATGCTCTTTAGGAAAGCACTAAAATACATTTGTACAACAAAAAGAGGATGGTGGGGGTTCTAGATAAGGAACAAAATGTTTCATGGAAAGAGTTCATTTCCTGAATCGGAAAAAGTAAAGAAGCTCGTTCTAGATCAGACTAGAGAAAGTGTAATGCTGGATGTGAAGCATCCCAGCAGACAGACAGTATCACAAGACATTAATATTAGATTAAGGTCGTCAGCATCTAAGGACAAGGTTATTTTGACGTCCAATAGACATCTGATAGACTTCATTTTGGTAACGTCCACACAACGTCAAGCTGTAACATTTTTAGACATTGATATTTTTGTTGTTTTTATTTTGGATTGGAAAGTAGTTAAATTGCAACATCTGTTCGGCAGGAGCGGTCGGTAACGGGTGTAATTTAAACCTCGAGTGGGCGGTCTAACAATATCGCTCCTGGCTTCCAAGCGAGCGAGCAAGCGTATGTATGTGTGTGAATGAGAGAGTGTGATGATGTGTGTGTCACTTGCTTGGTGCTGTGTGTCCATGTGTGTGTGTGTGTGTTTATACAGACAGCTTGTTATAGGCTGTCTGGACTCTGTATATATGCTGTATAGCGTGTAGAAAACAGGGCGGGGCGGGCAGCGGGACAACAAATGCTGAATATAAGCGGGAGCGGTCGGGTTCCAACTAAAACCTGACGGGAGTTGGATAAAAAAATTTTGTCTCGCACTGATCTCTAGCCTGATGTTTGGTTCTGACGTCAAACCAATTTTAATTTCCAAGCAAAGTGCAACATCCCACAATGTGTAACGATGGGTACAACGTCAATCTGACAATGTTATAAGGACAATGTTATTTTGACGTCCAATAGACATCTGAAAGACGTCATTTTGGTAACGTCAAGCTGTAACATTTTTAGACGTTGATATTTTGTTGTTTTTATTTTGGATTGGAAAGTAGTTAAATTGCAACATCTGTTCGGCAGGAGCGGTCGGTAACGGGTGTAATTTGAACAGGAGCGGGCGGTCTAACAATATCGCTCCTGACTCCCAAGCGAGCGAGCATGCGTATGTATGTGTGTGAATGAGAGAGGTGATGCTGTGTGTGTGTCACTTGCTTGGTGCTGTGTGTCTATGTGTGTTTATACAGACAGCTTGTTATAGGCTGTCTGGACTCTGTATAGCGGGAACGAGCGTGGCGTGTAGAAAACTGGGCGGGACGGGCAGCGGGACAAAAAATGCTGAATATAAGCGGGAGCGGTCGGGTTCCAACTAAAACCTGACGGGAGTTGGATAAAAATTTTTGTCTCGCACCGATCTCTAGCCTGATGTTTGGTTCTGACATCAAACCAATTTTAATTTCCAAGCAAAGTGCAACATCCCACAATGTGTAACGATGGGTACGTCAATCTGATGTCATGTTGATTTCCTGTGACTGCTGGGATTATGGACCCACGGGATGTTTTCACTTTCACTTCACTCATAATTTATGCGAAAGTAGAATTTTTTTCAAAAGATGCAAATGCATCAACATACTGAAATAAAAGTCTCAGCAACTTCCTGTTCACATTTGGTGTGAACCCATCATACAGTAATAGTTGTAGATCAGTATAGGAAAGAATTCAAGTTGGCACTACATGCAGCTAGAGAAAGATCTAGGGAACAGTGGAGGTTGCAGATCAGTCATTGACAGGATGTGGGTTTAGATAAACATAGAAAATGTTGTGGGTTCTAGAAAAGTCAGGATCAATGGCTCAAGATCAACAACCAAAAGGGTGCAGATTCCAGATGAACCAATAAAAGAGTGATTATTCTAGAATATCCCCAGAAAGGTGGCGGTTCTAGAATATTCAGAGAAATTGAGTCATTTTCAAGAATCAGGCAGTTAAGTAAGATGAAATTTAGAGTAAGAAAGGAAATGTGCCTGGTTCTAGATTAAGTAGAGAGTTCTAGATCAGCTGAAACAGTCCAGGTGAAGCACAGAAAGTGTGCAGGGGTGCTGATTTTAGAGCACACAGTGAAAGACGCAAGTTCCAGACAGTCAGAAAAAAAAATGTTCAGGTTTTAGTTCAGTCAATGGAAGGATTAAGGCCAGGAAAAAAGTGTGAGGTCTAGCTAAGTCAGGTAAAAAGGCTTATAGGCTCGTAGCTTGTGAAGGGGCCGAGAGGGCCTGGCCCCCAACAGCCAGAAACCTGTCAGAGACTGCATAATCATTCTTGATTGGTACAAATGCAGTATTACAATGCTGTCTTTTAAATACAATAACATAGCAGTAAACATGTTGAACAAGGTGTAGTAATACAATACGCTAAGCTAAAAGCGCTAATTATTAAAAGTACACGATAACTTGACAAAACCGAACGCATTGGAATGGATTTTACAATCGAATTTGTGATTATGTGTACTTTTACAAGAGTAAAAAGTGACTTCTCTTCAAATTCTACCCTCTCAGAAATAAAGTTATTACTCAGAGTCCACAGTGGTACCTCAAAGGTACGTATTAGTACCCAAATTTACCAACCATAATCGACTCTTCAGGTACAAATGTGCACCTTTTGAAAAGTCCTGTACCTTTATTTCTGAGAGTGTATATAAAGAGTTTCAGGAGTTCACACTTAGCTGATGATTGATTATAAAGCTTGTTTGGCATGCTGTCCCAGCAGTGAGCCCTGAGCTCATAAGATCCTCGAGCCTGGGGCTCCCTCCCGTTTGCAAGGCGAGAGGGTAGTTTGAGCTCAGTTAGATCTCGAGATCTCTCCCCTGCTGTAGTAGCTAATGAACAGATAGTGATTACTCTTAAGAGATAACTACTTACTAGGAGCATGTCTATGGTGCAGATTTGGATTAGTCAATTTACTTAAGTTGCATGTTTTTGGACGGTGGAAGGAAACCGGGGAACCCTGGGGAAACCCACGTGAGCATGGAAAGTACGTGTAAACTCCGCATAGAAACGTAAGCTGGCTTGGTAAGGACTAGAACTAGTGACGTTTTTGCTGTGAGGCAACAGTGCTTACCACTGGGCCACCGTGCCACCCATCTAGGAAAGGAGGAGGAGTAGGGGTGGAAGGGGGTATTCTTCAAAAACAAAGATGGCTGTTACATGGAACTTAGGGTATTTAAAGTGGCTTAGGAATCGTCTTGGTTGAATCATAAATTGAATAATGCGGGACCGGCTGCAAGCAATCATAAGCACGTGATCCTCTCGAAATTAGTTTATAAATAAACTTCACTTAGATGCCGTCTAAATCTTTCCTCTAAAACGAGCATTTTTATCAGGCTCCTGCGTGTATGCTCAGTAATGTCACTTTTATGGCAGACATTAGTCCTTTTCCTGGTCTTTAAAGTGAAATATTTCAACATGAACAAAGGAGGCTGGGAAAAATGTTCATTTTTGATGGAAATTTCAGACGACAGTTGGAGGTTTTTGCATCGGAACTCTTAATATTTAAAAAAAAAGAAAGCATACCGACTTTGCTTGATGCTATCATCTTGATCTTGTGGAGTACATGAGGCTACTTGATGCGGTTATTTCTTTAGTTTAGTTGTAAAGTGAAACATATTTGAGTAAGGCTTTTAAATTGTGTTTATTTTATCTTATTTATTTATAATGAATGTATGCTCCTCTCACAGAAGTACTAGCTTATAAAATTCAGCTACTGTTGTTGTTTTTGCACAAGTAAAAATAGTTTAATCCCATGAAAAGATATCTTAAAGAGTCAAAGACAGTTGATGCACTTTTTATGAAGAAAGATAACTGGCTGTTAAATGACAGAGGTCCTGAGTTAGTGTTTTCACAGATGAAATAGGCCTAAAGACAGCCATTTTTATGGCCTGCTCCACACATAAGCTCATAAATATTAAGGAAAATGTGAATGAAAACAAAAGTTCTCAAACATCTTTCCACTTTTAAGTATTAAATAAATGAAATAATGTATAGATTTTTTTTTTTAAATATGATTTTTGGTGTTCTTTTATAACACTGTCTGTCAAAATCACAGACAATGAGATTTCAAAATAAATAAATTACAAATACATAGATTTACACACTCAAAAGTCCAAATGTAAAATGTAACAAAAAAAAAAAGAAACAAATCAATTTTGAAAATAATAATTTGATGCATTTATTGTTTTAATTATTATTATTTTTAAGCATGTCTGGCCCCCATAGCTCAAATGTCAAGCTATGAACACCAGATGAACCACAGAAAGGATGCAGGTTCTAGATCACCCAGGGAAAGTGGGATCTTCTACCAACCTTAAAGAGTCTGAAGGCTGTCATCCAGCATGTTCTGCTCTGTTCGTCCTCTGCACACAACATCCTTAGTTCCTTCACTTCATTCCTTACTTTGTTCGGCTGCAAATGATCATAACGCACAACATTAATCACCCTGCTGACCAAAAAAGAACTTTATAAGATGTTTCACTATCAGCTGAATGTCTAATATTCACACAACTCATCTTAAAAGTTAGTTACACCTACTTTTATGCAGAATTCAAAGTCAGTCGGTGCACTGTGCAGCTTTCTCCCTGTTATCACTGTAAAGACATTGCTGTCCTCCAGGTCTGCTAGTAGCTGTAAATGCCTGGGCTCCTGTGAAAAATCAGCCAACAGCTCGTGTCATTTAATGGATAAAGAGGGGAGAGAGAACTGGGGGAGGGGTCAGATCTAGCCAGCACCTGATAATATTAACAGAGGCTTGTACAAAGAAGAAAAAAAAAAATCAAGCTACAATAAGCGAAATTTGCACTTAAAGAGATTTTTAAAGAGTTTATACACACACAAATAAATGTACACACCATTAAGTGGTTGCATAACTTAAAACACAAAAGAAGATATTTTGAAAAATGTTAGAAACCAATGACTTCCATTGTAGAAACAAATACTATGGAATAATAGTTAAAGGTTTTCAGCATTCTTCAAAATATCTTCTTTTGAGTTCAACAGAGAAAAAAAATCCTAAAAACACGTTAGTTAATGACACAATTTTCAGATTTGGGTGAACTATCTCTTTAACTGCTCCACCAAGAAAAAAGATTTTGGATTGCATTTCTTAACTTCTAATGATGCTAGTTAACACTTTTTTTTTCAATATACCCCATAATTTCTGAAATATCAACCTCTCCCAAATGGTTGATATGTTGGTTTATGGTCAAAGGACTGGAATTAATATTATGAAAATCTGAAAATATGAAGTGTTAGACGCATTTAAATTAAAACATAATCAAAATGAAAAATGTATAAAGTACGCCATAAAATATTTCAGATTCTCATTTAACATGTTTTTTTTTGTTGTTGTTTTTTTACAGTAAAACCAAAATCAAGTGTAGTAGTGTGTAACCCCGCTGGTCCTACACCACCCAACCCGCCCCGAGCTGGGATCGACCCGGCAACATTCCGCATGAGAGTCAGTTGCTCTAACAAGGAGGCTAAAGACCAAGGCCTCTAGCGTATGTCGCTAGAGCACCTTTAGTGGTCAGAGGAGTGAGGTTTACCTGCACAGCAAAACCTTCCCCTAAACCTCACTCTCATCCTGGTCACGGCACCAATGTAACTAGTCTTTTGCATCTCTTCTGCGTTGTATAAATAAATATTCACTTTAATATGTCTTTAATCGATTTATTGTTGTGAAAACAGTCAGAACACAAAAATGAGCGCAGATCTATTCAACCAGCCTCATGCACTGGCTTCCTCTTATATATACTACAATGAATTTTCTTTTTAAGGTAACAGAGGGGGCGCTCTACATGTAAAACAATAAAACAAATGTTAACCCCTTCCTTTCCATTAGTATTTCAATGTTTGCAAGTGGAGAGATACAATATAACCCTGTTACAAGTGCAACAGGATTATGTTAGATTTTATTTATTTTTTTGTAAACCAACAATGCTGTGTGTAAACCATTATTTAACAGTCATTATTGAAAACAGTCAAAATATGGTCCTCCTTTTGGTAGAGCAGGCAGTTAAAGATTGTTTTTTTTTTTACTAACTTTTATAGAAGTTAACTTACCTTTGACGTTCCTTTCGTCGAAAAATACAACCCTGACCGTCTTAAAAACACATACAGTTTCTTCCACGATTTCCTGCCCATCTCTTTCACATACAAATATCCCTGGATCTCAGGACAACTGCTGGAGTTCAAGAAGTTCTGGTGATGAAAGAAGATGGATTCAATAAAACACACAGATAAGATTGCAGTGGATTGATTCGTTTCAATGTGAACTCTTCACCACCAGTTGAAGTTTTTTGAAATCTGAATGGAGCAACAAATCACTGATTAAAAGTTTTTTTTTTCCCAAAAAATACTGACCTGCATGTCAAATTTAGCAACATTTTGATCTAACATCAGTTCATCCATTAATAAAAGATTAAATAAGACAATCTTATGAATATGTAGGTAAATTCTTTTTAAACACAAATATTATGTATTGTAAATAAAATGGTAACACTTAACAATAATGCTGTATTAGATAATGTTAGCTAAACACAATCAAACAATGAAAAATACATTTATTACAGAATTTATTCCTGTTTGTTAACATTAGTTAATGAGAATAAAGCTGTTCATTGTTAGCTCAATGTAACTCAATCATTTCCTTTAGTCTGTATTTCAGAGGTCACCACAGTGAAATGAACCACCAACTATTTCAGCTTATGTTTTATGCAGTGGATGCCCTTCCAGTTGCAACCCAGTATTGAGAAAGATCCATACACACTCACATTAACACACACTCGTACTCTACGGACAATTTCATTTATGACAATTAAGTGCTAACTACTGAGCCATGTGCCGCCCTCATGGTAACTCACAGTGCATTAATTAATGTTATCAAGCATGAATTTGGATTGACAATGCATTAGCAAATGCTGTACTACATCGTAAAACAGTCAACAGTCAACTTTATCAAATGAAATGAGTATAACTCCAACTTTGCTGAAAGTTAATTGTACTCATTTGAAAAGAGTTTTTAACTCTTCGTTTACCTCATTTACCTCATGCTACAAACGCATGGTTTGTAGCAATCGGTTTCCTCAAACGGTTTGAGTTGCCTTAACTTATTGGGTTTAACAGTACTCAGTTGGTTTAAGTTCTCTTCCTTTATTGGGTTTTACTGTGCTCAGATTGCTTAATTTACTCAAATGGGTTAAGTTCACGGTAATAGGATCAGGTTTTGAACTTAAATAGTTTGTTGTAATTGGTTTACTCAAATGGTTAGAGTTACCTTAACATTTTTGGGTTTTTAAGTGTAGTATTGCGCATTCTTAATTATTGTTAGTACATTAACCAGTGTTGAAAAGAGTACTGAAAAAGCATACTTAAAACTAAAAGTACCATTACTTGCCTAAAAATGTAGTGCAAGTAGAGCAGGGGTGTCCAAACTTGGTCCTGGAGGACCGATGTCCTGCTGAGTTTAGCTCCAACTTGCTTCAACACACCTGCCAGGAAGTTTCTAGTATATATAGTAAGAGCCTGATTAGCGGGTTCAGGTGTGCTTGATTAGGGTTGGAGCTAAACTCTCAAGGACACCGACCCTCCTGGACTGAGTTTGGACACCCCTGAAGTAGAGTTAAAGTATCTGCTGTAAATATTACTCAAAGTAAAAAGTAGCCTTTCCAAAAGTACTCATGAGTAGTGAGTATTACGCTGTGATGTAATTTGTGGATGTGTGTAAACGTAACATTCTGTGGTGCATTTAGCTAGGAGGTGCCCAGCAGGCACACAATGTCATAAGACCGTAATATTTGGTAGATTTTAGGTTGTGTTGGAAAGTGACCAAAATCCAACGTCGAGCCAATATCCTAAACCAACGTCATATTAACATCAATTACTGACATTTATTCGTCAGGTATGGCAACTAAAATCCAACATCTGATGGACGTCATAGTGGTAACGTCGACACAACGTCAAGCAGTAACATCATCAGATGTTGATATGTGGTTGATTTTAGGTTGGATATTGATTTCAGCCTGACGTCGGGTTCTGACATCAACCCAGTTTTCATTTCCAAACAAAATACAATGTCCCCAGGAGGTCGGGGTACAACGTCAATCTGACGCCATGTTGACGTCTTGTGCCTGCTGGGTGTTTAAAGCTATTTTGGTCATCATACAGTAAACATCCGTCAACTTCTCATCAGTGACATGCATCTAAACAGTCTCTGGGTCAATGCATGAAAAGATTTTGGACATCTACTTTAACACCTTTAATGCTTCCAATTGTTTATGTCTTGAGGTAAAGTGTGACCAATAAAACTATATAAATAATCACATGCAAATAAAAACAATTAAATACATGTTGTCTTGTTTATAAGAGAAGGGTTTTATCTTGTAAAACGCCAAAGATGAATAGGCTGATGTTAGATGTGGGGTGATGGGAAAGAGAACACATGTGTGTGTGTGTGTGTGTGTATTGTACCTGCAAGAGCTGAGATGGGGGGATGGTCCCATTGGTCTCCTGACACCAGGCAATCATTTGCTCAGGGAAGAAGTTCTGTTGAAAAGAAGAAGAAAAAGAGTCACATTATATAACTTTTATTGTCAGCATTGTGCAAAGCTAATCCTCTCATAAATGCTCTGCTCTGCTTATTAAAGGAAATATCCTAATAATAGTAACGCAGCATACCAAAAGGAAAGTCTCTATGATTGCAGATGTTCATCTGCTTGTGTAACATTTTGCTTCAGCACATAGAAAACAAAAGAAAAGGTTTGATAATCACTAGTGAAAAGCCTGTCTTTTGTGATTAAGGTGGATGAAAGGAATAGAGCAATCATTTGAAATGATTCTAAAAGCTCTTTGGTTCGAAACCTGATAAAACAGTGGAGTATTATGTAATATTTCAATAATAGATGTACATCTGCCACCCATTTACTGTCTTATAATGATTTTCTTCTTTGATTCCGTTATTTTATAGTATTATTATTACAACTACTAATACACAGTGTAAAAAATAACGACAAAAACTCAAGACAACAAACATTTTTATGTTAATCTAACTTATTTTAATTAGTGATGGGTCGTTCATGAACGATTCGTTCATTTTGAACGAATCTTCAATATGACTCCGGAACTACGAGTCCTCTCAGGGAGTGATTCGTTTATCCGTGTGTGCGCACATTTGTGCAGGTGGTATCATTCATTTCAAGTCTTTTGAGTCGTTCATCGCGGAAAGGCAGAAGCCAATCATATGCGTTTAGAGCCGGAAAAAGAATTGATTCGTTCACCTCTCGAGTGTGAGTCATTTGTTCCTCATGGGCCAATCATATGCGTTTAGAGCCGGGAAAAAATTTAACCGTTCATCTCTCGAGTCCCCGGGTTTGAGTCATTCTGTTACGTGATGAACGAATGACTCAAGAGCCAGAAGACTCGAAAGGTGTACTAATTATCATGGCTCCTATCGGCTCAGACTGTGTACATTGGTTAAGATTATATGTGACTGTCAGTTTAACGTGAACAAACCACTGACATTTGAAGACATGAAGAGGTGAGCTGAGCAAAGAGACAACAATACCTTCATAGACAAAAGAGCAGGTAAACACTGAATTATTATTTTCCCCTTCTCATAGTATTATATTTATGACTTCTTTGTCGCGTGATCAACCTTTTGGGCTAGTTGTAAATGTGTTTGGAAGCAATTCGTAACATTTTAATAATATTCTGGCAAATTGAATCAAATCAACGAAATGACTCGAAAAAAGATTTGTTCATCTTGATGAACGAGACACAAAGCTCTGAGTCAATAAAATGATCCGAACTTCCCATCACTAATTTTAATATGTTAATCAGGTTTCAACTAAATTGTTTATGTTATACAAAGTTGAACTTAATATTTTTTAGTCAGTAGTAGATTGGTGTAAGTTGACATGACTAGAAAGGTTAGTTTTATTCAATTGAAAAATGTTTTGCAGTTTATGCTTTCAATCCAAATATACAAATCAAACTCATGCCCAAAACTGCAATACCATATAAACATTTGCGAATAAAGCACCGTTTTCAAATCAACGAGTCAAAGAGAATAAAATCATCACTTCCTATTAAAGTGTACACGTATCAGACCTTCTGCATTCCCATAACCCCCTCTCAAGAACACTCAAAAATGTATTTTTGCTGCTTGCTTAAACTGATTATTTAAAATGAGCAGAATCAATACAATTCGTAAGTTTTTTGCGGGGATAACTTAAATGTTTTAGGTTTAATAAACTTAAATTTGTAAAAAAAAAATTAAGTTAACCTAATCGATTTGTGTTGGGACAAAATGAAGGAATTGTGTGGAACTCTGCATTTCTTACAGTGAAGTTTAAGATCTTATAATCTTTCCTGGAAAAAAAAATGCAGGGTTCAACACAATTCATTCATTTTGTCCCAACACAAATCGATTAAGTTGACTTAACACTTTTAAAAAGTTTATGTGGATTGAACATAAAAAATCAAGTTCTCCCAATGGAATTTCAAGAATTGTTTCAGCTCATTTTAAATAAGTAGTTTAAACAAGCAAAACAATATATATTTTTTGAGTGTTTCTTTATTGAAAATTCCTACTTTGAGGCTGAAACACAGAGGGGACCGAGCTTTTTCGGTGGTGGGTCTTCGATTATGGAATTGTGTGGAACCTCTACCAATTTTTAAATCTCTTCTAATAAAACCAATTTTTTTTCCTTAGCTTTTAAAAAGTGTTCATCTGCACTTTCTCCTCTCTGTTTTAAACATCTGCCCTGCTACTTTGAGCAGCTATTGTTATTTTATTATTTTTATTTTTATCTCTGGACCTTATATTGTTATTATTCAGCTTTTTATGTACAGCACTTTAGTCAAGCTGCTATTTTGAAAGTGCTTTATGAATAAAAAAAATCTAAATTAAATTGGCCCCAAATATAAAAAAAAATGGAATTTGCTGAAGTAGGAGAAGCCAGTTTTTTCTTATATAATAAATTAATTGCACAGACATAACTAGCTTTTTGAGGTGCAAGACCCCTTTTCGAGAGTGCAGACGCTCAATACAATTCTAGGAGGTAATAATACTCAACCACTGTGATAACAGACTCTAGCTGAGGGATTGTAGAATGACCAAAACAAAATTTCAGATGTTTTACAATGTGGTTGTGCATTAATGCTGTCGAATCATGACCAAGTTTTGCCAAAAAAGCATTCATGCCAAGTTCATAAAATAGGTATGTGTATGTGCATAAAATATGTAGATGGAAACATTTTAATCTAACATATTGTTCTACTGAAAAGATTATTTACACGTAATGCTCTGTAGATTCAGTTTAACTGTTACATTTAACCAGCTTATTAATGATCTGTTGTGGATTTTATGTTTTTTTGTGTGGATTTTTGTTCAGTAATAATTAGTTGTAAATGTTAGAGTACATTGTCCAGCTCTTAAATCCTGTTACATTGTTACTCAATTAAAGTGTACATGAATTATCGATGTGAGATGTTAACTCATTTCATTCACAGTCTGTGGTAAAAGTCACAAACACAAAGCTATGAAGTGTTATATAAAGCTGGCTGCCTATATTTAAATATAATACATACAGTTAAAGTCAGAATTATTAGCCCCTCGAATTGTTACCCCCCTGTTTATTTTTTTCTCAAATTTCTGTTTAACGGAGAGAAGATTTTTTCAACACATTTCTAAACATACTAGTTTTAATAACTCATTTCAAATAACTGATTTATTTTATCTTTGATATGATGAGAGTACATAATATGTGATTAGATATTTTTCAATGACACTTTAAAGTGACATTTAAAGGCTTAACTAGATAAATTAGGTTACCTAGGCAGGTTAGGGTAATTAGGCAAGTTATTGTAGAATGATGGTTTGTTCTGTAGACTATCGAAAAAAATATAGCTTAAAGGGGCTAATAATTTCATCCTTAAAATGGTGTTTAAAAAATTAAAAACTGCTTTTATTCTAGCTGTATAACACATTTTGGCAGCATAGATGAACCACTGACCAATAAGTATCCAGCATTCCCAAGCACCAAAGGTATCGTTCACCCAAAAATTAACAAACTTAAGTAGTCCTAAACTTTTTCTTTCGTGTTCTTCACAACATATTTAGAACAATGCTGCATTGTAAAAAAATAATCTGTTAATTAACAGTTACCCTATTTTGTGATTCTCAAGTTTCCGTTTATTTACTGTAAAGAATTGCATTATGAGATGCTGATCTCTGCTGTCAACTTTTGATGTCAAAAAATCAACTCTAGAGTTTAAAAAAGTTGCTTTTATTGACATTTTAGTAGTTTGAAATAATATAAGGTATAAGAAATATTATATAGAGCAATAAGTTTGTAAAATAACAGAAAATGAACTGCCATTTTCCTTTAGTGTAATATACAACACCAACCCAGACAATATACCACTTTAAACTATTAAAAATGTAAATAAAAGTAACTTTTTCCAACCTTTCCAGGTCAAAGGTTGTTGGAAGAAAGATCAAGCTCACATAATGCAACTCGAAAGCATAAATAAATGGGCAAAAAATAAAAATATATACATAAATCACAAAATACAAAATAATAAAAATAATACATTTTGTGGAAAAGAGCAAGTATTCATAGGAACAAAAAAAATTTATGAAAGTAAATTTTTGGTCTTTTTTTTTTAACATTCACAATATCTCAAACAGCTTTGAAACAAGTGGAAGATAAGTAAATGATGACAGAATTTTCTTTTTTTGGATGAACTCATTAACGCAACATCATATGCTGTATGCAGTTGAAGTCAGAATTATAAGCCCCCCTGTTTACTTTTAATTAAGTTAGGGTAATTAGGCAAATTATTTTATACCGATGGTTTGTTCTGTAGACAATCGGGAAAAAAAAGCTCAAAGGAGCTAATAATTTTGACCTTAAAATGGTGTTTAAAAAATTAAAAAATGCTTTTGTTCTAGTGGAAATAAAACAAATAAGACTTTCTCCAGAAGAAAAAATATTATCAGACATACCGTGAAAATTTCTTTGTTCTCTTAAACATTATTTGGGAAATATTTAAAAAAGAAAAAAAAATCAAAGGGGGGCTAATAATTCTGACTTCAACTGTATATCAGCATACAAATGGTCGTCAGCCCAACAATTCACAAGTGAAGGTACTAAATAGATGAGGAAACCGCGAAACCAATCGCCTATAAGCTCAATTGAACTGAACCTGCGTTACAGCAATTTAAAACAGTGTCAAAAATCGAAGAAAAGAAAATCTACGCGTAAAGTGCAAATTTCCCACCCCTCTCCGTCTCTCGCTGAATTTACAAGAGGACTGAATGTTCTTGAAAGTGTTTGATTACCAGCCCAAACAGTAAGAGGCATGGGTTTCTTTTGGATTGTGTGTGAGTGAGAGTGTGAGAGCAGTTCACTGAACTGGAAGCATGTCACTTGATATCTACATCTACCAAGACTGAAAACAGTCCATTAATGTGAGGAACTTTCCTTCAGCGATAATCCGTGTCACGTTACTTATGTACCTACCGACACCTGCACCAAGAGAAGGAAATAAAACCAATCTTCAACCACATTATTAGGGATAGTTCACCCAAAAATGACAATTCCATCATCATGTTATCTCCGTTCCATTGTTTCAAACCTGTTTTGCTTTATTTATTGTGTTGGAACACAAAAGAAGATATTTTGAAGGAAGCTGGCAACCTGCAACCATTGACTTCCATAGTATTTGTTTTTCATACTATGGAAGTCAATGGTCACATGCTTTCAAATGTCCTCAAAATTAATTATTTTGTGTACAAAAGTAGAAAGAAAACTCATAAAGGTTAATAACCACTTAAGGGTGAGTGAATAGTGAGCAAATTTTCATTTTTTGGTTGAACAATCTCTTTAATCTAAATCTGAAATAGTTCGTTTGAGGTCTTGGATTAACTCACCAAAGGATTTTTAAAGAATTCATATTTGGCATAGTTCTTCCTGAAGAGAAATTTACTCTCGCTGATCATTGACGTCTGCACTTGGACAACCAGTTCATGGTCTTCTAAACATCTCTCTGTGGAATGATGAAGAAAGAAGGAAAATAAAAAAGACTGTCAACAACATACAATGCAATTACTTCAAAAACTTAAGTATTTTACACTCAAGATAAATGCATTTTTTTATAAGCAAGGACTAAAATGTTGTGTAATGTTTGAATTTTAAATGACATGAAGGTCTGTTAGCATTCATCCTGACAGACAAAAAATAAACAGGGTTAGTGATCCCTGCCTGATGAAAAGAGAGTTTGTCTGGAGGAGAAAACACCAACCCCCCTTCTCCACCCACCTAGTTCTGTGTAAAAAGCACAGGGACTTACTGACTGAAAAAAGGAAGATCTATGCATATATACACTGTTAAACCCCAAATGTTAAGGTAACTAAAACCATTTGAAGAAACCGATTGCAACAAACCAAAGATCGAAAACTAATCCTAATGAGTACTGTGAACTTAATCCAATTGAGTAAATGAAGCAATTTGAGCACAGTAAAACTCAATAGATGAGAACTCAAACCTACTGAGTACTATAAAACCAACACTATCTCACGGCAATATGTAACTTTTTGATTTAGCAGCTAATTCGTATGAATTCTTACAATGTAATTCATACAATTTAGTACGATTTGCTCATCCCCCAATGGCAGTAGGGTTTATGGGTGGGTATGGTGGAGCCTCCTTTTTAAAATAATACTTTTTCGTGTGACTGAACTTGCAAACTCGTACAAGTTAGCCACTAAACTGACAAAACGTTAAATACTTATGTTTTCTCGTGAGTTCAGGCTGGTAAAACCCAATAAGTCAGGCAATAAGATAACAATAAGGTAAAGCAACTTAAACCATTTGAGGAAACTGATTGCTACAAACCATTTGATAAACTAAACTAATCTATATGAGTACTGTGAACGTACTCCATTTAAGTTGAAGTAATGAGGTATTTAATTAACTCATTACCTTCAACACTGAGTTCAAAACTCTTCAAATGAGTAGAATTAACTTTCAGTAAATTGTGAGTGAACTACACTTATTTCATTTGATAAAGATGACTGTTGGGTTTTACAGTATATGCATGCATACATCTATGTCTACTTGATTCTGTTTCTCTGCCCTTCTTGCAGATTCTCTGTTTTTAGCATGGTGTGGAGTTAATGTCGCCAGCGACTGCTCAAAAGACCCTGAACCCTGACATGGACACGTACTCTTCATCCAACTGTGAAGCTGGTTTTGTTTGGTAACAGGAAACTATGGGGGAGATCCGTTACACTCACCCCACAAACAAATTTTCTAATTTATAAAGGGAGATGTGAAAGAGATGAATAATGAGAAAGAGAAAAAAAATTAAGCAGATTTTCAAGCAAATTTGATTCATTGCGACAGATTTTTTTTAAATGTATTAAACAAATTTAAAGATTTGTGATGACTTGGATTGTATTCTCAAAAGACACTTTAAAAAGTTTTGTTTAATTAAACCTAAAAATGGGGTGTATGTGATAATATCCCAATTTAATTTCCCAAATTTAATGAAAATACAGCAAATGAAAGATACTTTTAAAGGGATTGTTCACACAAAATGTTCTCTTTCTGAACACAAAAGAAGATAATTAGAAAAATGCTGGTTGCTGGGACCTATTTAACTCCATAGTATTTTTTCCTACCGTGGAAACAAGGTTATTATAGTTAACAAAAACGAATGAAAAAACAAAAAAATGTTTGTTAACTGAAATAAAAAAATAGAAACGAGAGTTTTTGAAACTGTATTGTGTACATACAAAACTAACTGAAACTAACAAAAATTATAGCAAAAACATCCTTCGCTTTAGTCTTTGTAAATGTATTTAATACACAAGCCTTTAAGAAGTAAATCTATTTACTTCTCGATGCAAGTATTACACCGGGTGTTTGAGCCATACAACACCTCGGAATCTTGCTGCCATTGGCCAGATCAAGCCAGTCCTCCTCCAGTCAATCCTCGCTGTGGCTCCAAAAAACAACGACTGGACATTACAGCAGCATGGTGAAACATTAAATACGACCCGAGCAGACACTTAAAAGTATTCATTTAACACATTTGTGTCCAATAATCCACAACGACTTACTTTTTAACATTCCTGATACCCCCTCTGACTCGAAATAAACCAATTTCCTGAATTATTTAGATATTAGAACAGTAATGTTACACAGTGATCGGATTTGAGAACTGGTGTACTCATAAAATGCACATGTGTGATTCAGTGTACTAAACTTGAACAAGTGCAGCGCGGGTAAACCGTGGGCTAGACTATCTGGGTAAATGTAAGTTTATTTCACAGAAATAAATAACAATATAACAGAAAATCGTAATGAAATTTAAATAAGTAAATTGGGTTGGGTTGCAAAAATTAAGTTAAAAAAACTTTTCAGATCATGAGGATGTTTTAACTGACTTAAATTATGATTGCTGACGACGTAATTTTGATATGTTGAGCCCAAACATGGGAGAACTGTCATAAAAAATCCGGATCAAGGAAAAGATCTGAACTTTCCATCACTACTGTGTATCTAACCCCAGAAGCAGCATTGCACAAAAGGTACTTAGGCCTGCAATCTTGTGGGCTGTTGTATTTGAATTTGAGGATGGGTAGATGGTAGTGGTAATGTCTTTGTTTATGTAAAAATATGTCTTTGGTTGAGGTATTATACAATATTCTGATGATTTTGTATCTTGCACCTAACAAATATTCTAATTTATTTGTAAAAAATAAAAAAAAAATAAAAAAAATAAAACTAATACTGAAACTAACAAAAACTAAACTAAAACTAAGCAATTTCGACATAGAAACTAATAAAAACTAGTAAATCTGCCTCTAAAAACTAATTAAAACTAACAGAATTTGAAAACAAAAAGTCAAAACGAAATAAAAACGAAAACTAATGAAAAATCCAAAACTATTGTAACCTTGTATGGAAATTGTCCCAGCAAACACCATTCTTCAAAATATCTTCTTTTGTGTTCAACAGAAGAAATACACTGCACTGTAGTTAAGGCAACTCAAACCGTTTAAGGAAAGCAATTGCAACAAACCATTTGAGTTAAAAAAAAAAAAAGAACTGTGAACTTCTATTTAAGTTGAAGTAATGAGGTATTTAATTACCTCATATCCTTCAACACTGAGTTCAAAACACTTTTCAAATGAGTAGAGTTAACGTTCAGTCAATTTTGAGTTATCTACACTCATTTCATTTGATAATGTTGACTGTTGGGTTTTACAGTGTAAAATAAAGGTGTAAAACCACATGCGACAGAATAAATGATGAGATCATTTTAATTTTTTTTTTTTATGTGAACTATCCCTTTAAAATTTATTTTGGATTCAATATAACTTCAAAACTCTTTTCTACACTCACTGTATCCGGAAAGCCTAGCAATAATTCACGCTAATATCCAGTTACAACTACGTTGAATACGTGTATCAATATATCTGCATCCTTTAATCCACTTTACAACAGACCAGCTTATGACTTTTCCCCACAACACATCCATCTTGAAATGACGCTCTGAGATACAGAAGAACTCTGGAGTGACAAGCTTTTCCATCATCCTGCCGTTCAATATTTGGCTTAGTAAGGAGAGATTGCATTGCAGAGAGATGATGTCATGCATTCGCTCAACCACACTTTGCAAGCAGAGTGGATCCATAACAAATGAGGAACGGACCTGACGTTTAAAACACAGCATGTGTCGCAGAGAAAATAAAGCGTTGTCTAAACTGATATGTTTGTTTTAAAATAAGCATGTGCTGATAAGACATTAATAAGAACACATTTTTGTTATTAATATAAAGAATAACAAGACTCTTTAACAGTAGAGTTTTACCATTTTTTAACCCAATCAACTGATTTTGGTGTCTGGTGGAAGCACTTTTAGCTTAGCTTAGCATTCATCATTGAATCAGACTTGACCATTAGCATCTCGCTCAAAAATGATCAAAAAGTTTTGATAGTTTTTCTATTTAAATCTTGATTTTTTTTGTAGTTACATTGTATATTAGGACTGATAGAAAATGGAAAGGTGCTATGCTGATAGCCTATGGCCAATAACTAAACTCTCATTCTGGCTAGTTACTTTGCTACCTTTAGGTACTGGGTAATATTATTGTGCCTGCAGCAGCGATGGTACTGCAGAAAAGTTCCTTAATTATTACAATTATTATATCCTTTATTAATATTAAAAACTCTTTATAAAAAGTTTTATAAAAAAAACATAAAAAGCAAGATGCTAATGGTTTAATCTGATTTAAGGATTTATGCTAAGCTAAGCTAAAATTTCTCCTGCCAGACCTGGAGATTCAGCCGTAATGACTGTTTAACTCTAGGAGTTGTAAAATGAGCATAAGTTCCTTGAAACAAGTGTCACAACACTAGCTTAATACTAGCTTTTTGCTGTAAAGCGCAATCTTTAATACAAAAAAAGTTATTTTGCCAACAAAATGTATGTAGTCATGTATGTAGTCATGTAGTATGACAAAGCTTGACTGGTATTTCATAAACAACATTGAACCAAATACTGCATTCTTAGTTAATTATGTGTAGGATTAACACGTCCATGTTGCATCATTTATAGCATTAAGAGGTCTAACTGAAGCTTGGATCAATCCATGCAGATGGAAAATAAATGAGAAATCTCACCAAATGGCCAGAATGATTTCTCTGCACATGAGAAGACAAGTAAACTTGTATATGAAAGAAAGAAAGAAAGAAAGAAAGAAAGAAAGAAAGAAAGAAAGAAAGAAAGAAAGAAAGAAAGAAAGAGCTTCAATACAGCTTTATTAAGTGGATTAAGTGTATAGTTCATGGACAACTAAATGCTGTCATTGCTTTTTGATCTGACAAAAACCATTACAAAATAGTTCTGTCTAAACACACATTTGGTATTACACCCTTTAAAAACTTTTCTATATTATTAAAGGGATAGTTCACTCAATAATGAAAATTACTTCATAATTTCTCAAACCTTGAGTTTCTTTTGTTCAGGACAAAAGAAGATAATTTAAAGAATACTGGTTATTGGAATTCTTCAAAATATCTTCTTTTCTGTTTAACAGAAGAAAGAAACTCAAATAGGTTTTGTAGCTAATGTCTTATATACAGTTGAAGTCAGAATTATTAGCCCCCCCTTGAATTTTTCTTTTCTTTTTTAAATAATTCCCAAATGATGTTTAACAGAGCAAGGATTTCACAAGGTTTTCACAATATGTCTGATTAATATTTTTAAAAAAAATTTTTAAGTCTTATTTGCTTTATTTTGGCTAGAATAAAAGCAGTTTTAATTTTTTTTAAAATATTTTAAAGTCAAAATTATTAGCCCATTTAAGCTATTTTTTTCAATAGTCTACAAAACAAACCATCATTATACAATAACTTGCCTAATTACCCTAACTGGCCTAGTTAACCTTTTTAACCTAGTTAAGCCTTTAAATGTCACTTTAAGCTGTATAGAAGTGTCTTGAAAAATATCTAGTCAAATATTATTTATTGTCATCATGGCAAAGATTAAAATAAATCAGTTATTCGAGATGAGTTATTAAAACTATTATGTGTAGAAATGTGTTGAAAAATATCTTCTCTCTCTCTATATATATAAATATATATTTAGAATAATGAGTCTGCATCTTTCGGGAAGCCAAATTCCCCAACATTTCCCCGAATTCCCCAATCGTCTATTGTATCCTCAAACTCAATAGGAAACTGAAAGCACAACAGAACGTTGAAAGGACGATGAAAGACTGATGATACAGTGAAGACGACCGTTAAGAAAAAAAAGGAAACAGTTTGTTTGCCAAATAAAACAAATATTTGGATTGGAACAAGAAATCCTGTCCAGACCGCACACTCGGGTAGATGAACTTACTGTATGACTCGTTGCCCTGGGCTGACTTGCGTCCTACTACCATGCCTCACGTTTACGCCACAGGTTATTCAAGGTAACAAATTAACGCACGGCATGTGTTAGCCTAGAGATTTGCCTACAATGTGCAGCCGACTGCAACTGTCAATGTAAAAAAATAAATAAATAACGTGATCCTGTTTAAAATGATAGTTTACCCCAAAAAATTAAGGTTTATTTACAATTTATGCACCCTCAACTGATTCCAAACCTTTATTAGTTTCTTTCTCCTGTTAAATACACAATGTAATATTTCGATGAGAGCTTAGAATCTGTAACCAATGACTACCTAAGTAGAAATTACAATGGAAGACATTGGTTACAGGTTTCAAACATATTTCAAAATATCTTCTTTTTGTGTTTAACAGAAGAAAGAAACTTATAGAGGATTGAAACAAGTAAAGGACGAGTGAAGTTTTGGGTGAAATATCTGTTTAATTTCTAAGAGCTACCATGACATCAACTCATGGAACATGGGTCTGCCCTAATAGAAAGAAAATATAAGTACTAGAGCTTAAACAAACTATATAATTCAGCATAGTTTGGATGGCAAAATCTAAAGTTTAAGTACGAGAAAATGTATTTAGAACTGAGCAAGGTCAAAGATAACAATATTAATGCTACTTCAAATATGACTTCATATGCATATACATTCATTTTCCTTCAGCCTAGTCCCTTTATTTATCAGTGGTCCCCACCGAGGAATGAACCGCCAACTTATCCAGCATATGTTTTACACAGCGGATGCCCTTCCAGCAGAAATCCAGTACTGGGAAACATTGATACACACACGTTCACACACATACGGCTAATTTATTGCATGTCTATGAGCTGTGAGGGAAACCAGAGCACCCAGAGGAAACCTACACGAACATGAGGAGAACATACAAACTCTACACAGAAATTCCAACTAACCAAGCTAGATCTCAAACTAATGACCTTCTTGCTGTAAGACGACAGTGCTAACCACCATGTTGCCCATCAAATGCATATAAACAAGGTTTATACAATCAACCAAGCACGCAATTGAAATCCAATAGTTTAGGATTAACGAGTTTAACAGGTTTGATGCAGAGATGAGTCGCACTGAAAACCGCTCTCAATAGCACGTAACAAATGATGACAATGCTCAACTTTAAGGAAGCACTTCAACTCTTAGGGAACCTAACTTCCTGTTATGCCTCTTCATTATATGGGATTTCCCCCCGGCGACTGGTAATCAATTACTCCCAGCCCGAAGACATAAAAGCATGAATCAAGGAAGTCTGTCTTCTTCTCTTACATGGTCATCATTGATTTCAACTCCAGCACAAAAGACCCTGTAATTAGTGCATCTAAAGTGGTTGACGCACACACACAGACACTTTCAAACAGCTCTATAAATTTACTCGCTACACTCAAGCTTGGAAAAGGAGCAAGCTAGTTACCGAGTCCCAGGGCTGGATGATGCTCCACAAGCGCCCAACTGTTATCGTCCACACAATGGTTTTTATAGACGAGAAACTGGCACAGGTCTCGCGCCGTCATGTCGGCTGGGATCTCCACCACCTTTCCCATCCCGTCCTCGCTGAATATTTTTATAATCTGAAACAGAAAACAACAAAAATTAGATGTCTTCGAGGTTCGTTTTAAACAGCTAAAATTCCTAGTATGGAAAAAAAAAATCACATTTAGACAGGAGAAAAGTGTACTGCGTCACAGGACAAATTTTATCTTCAGAGCCCCAAAATGAATCAATCGGTATTTTATGTGATGTTACGATACCGTACCTTTAAGCAAAAAGAAACTCTTTTAAGGCTTTGGGTCGTAGTGCAAATCCATTAATGCTCAAATCTAGGTCTTATCATGCAAATTCCATGTCTAGACTACATCCTCACTGATGTGAGGGAGAAGCTAAAGAGAAGCATTTCATTTGAAACAGTTTGAAATGTGTCCCGTGTCATTGTGCCCCCTTCCTCACACACATTCTAGCTCTTCTCGAAAATTCTGAGACCTTTCATACGTTCTCTCACATAGCACAAAACACACATTCGGAAATCCGTCACACCAAGCTTTAAAGCTTTACACAAATCAATCATTCACTCAAAAACGGTTGACCGTCGCAGTCTGTTTTAGATTTTACGGTTTCGTTCTACAGTTTCTAATTTTCACTACAGCCATACTCAAACTCCCCAGACTCTTGGAGTCGCCAAGGGGGAATGAGATTCTGAAGTGCCCAAAAGGGATCCGTGCGTTTGGGCTGGAGGAGAAATCTTACCTCCCCAGGCCTGAGCAGGCAACAGTCAGGAGAACACGATGGCATTTTCCCCAGCAGCCTGTGTCCTCCTCCACAAACTGAGAGACGGACCCGCTCCCCGAATGTCTCCACAACTCCACAAGATAGAAAAAACGAGCAAACAAAAAAAAGAAAGAAAAGAAAAAGCAGTTCCTCTGCTTTGCAGATGCTTCTTCCTGTCAGTGGCTCAGCGTGTACTACCTGTCACAATCTTCCTTCTTCTCTTTCTCTCTCTCAGACTAGCTTTGGCGCAGAACAGAGCATGCAGATGGCACTGTTTCCAGCTTGGCAGACAACTTGCCTCTGTTCCCCTCACAAAGGGTTACAGCCACAGGCTTTTAGGTAGTGAATCAAACCACACTTCCCTAACCAATCATAGGGCTAGCTCAAGCTGATGTAATCATTCCCACACAGACACAGACGCGCACACACACACACACACACACACCGACAGACGCACACAGCTTTAACTTTTCTTTCTCTCCTTCTGCATAACTTCAGTTTCCTTTCATTCTAGAAGGGACAGCGGCTCGTTTTTAGCAGCTCGTTTATTTCCTCTGAAGTGGAGACGGCGATAGGACCAGACAGAGCAAAAGCTCCTCTCTGTCGAAATCTAATTTTCTAAAGTCTTGAACGAGTTTCATGTGAGGACTTGTTGAAAGTTTGTCTTACTTTCAAAAGCCCTGCTTTGAAGTTGCGAGTTTGAAGCCAGAACTTTCTCTCATGATAGGGCAAGACTCATTACGGCTGAAATGAAACAAACGCCAGCACTTGAGACGCCGCTCTCTGCCTTCCCCCCAGCCAAACTTAATGCCAACATTCCTCCACTGAAGTCGGGGAAAAAACGAAAAAGCAAACCCCAGCGGTTTCACTGGTGACCCCTGAATCCACACAAACCTAAACACACATGCAAACAAGGAAAGAAGTCAGATGTAAACTCTCAGACAGCTAATTCAACAGAAGTCGGACACAAAGAGACTACACCCCACCCATTTCTGTGGAAGTGAACAGAGTTTCCCCTTTAATCGATAGCAAAAGTTTCATCTCAGAGTTTTGTCTGACACTCGCGCACATATCTGCTTGGCTGCCCCGGCTAAAATTAACTTTCTGTGACCGCAGGAAACCGGACAGAAAGGATGACTCAATCCTTTTCAATCCTTTAGGAGACTGTTTCAGTTATGGGGGTGGGGGAGGAAGGAGAGAGAGAGAGAGCGAGAGGAAGTCAGGGATAGAGGGCTGGAGGGAGTACTGGAAACAGTCCAGAAGAAAGAGTCAGTAGGGGTGGTAACATAAAAGGTATGCAAACTCTCCAGTGCTCCAGCTGGCTTGGCTGCTCCTCCTCTCCTCCTCCTCCTCTGTTTCACTCATCACTCTACAATTTAGGCAGTCAGCAGGGAGATGACTGGGTCACATATGTGCAAACAGCATATCATAGAGCCATAAGCTGCAGCCATCTTTTGCAATGCACATTGAGTCCATTATTACCCTACTGACCTATATATTATTAAAAGGCGATTAGCTAGAAAGTTTGTCTTAAAATGTGCTTATTGTATTTTAATAGTTTTATTTAAAACGAGAACGTCACTGAATAGAGACCAATGTGAAAATGGCAAACGGTTTGTATTCAACACCACTGATTAAGCCATTGCTGAAATTCATGGGAATTAAAATTCCCTTGAAAGTCAACCCCCACTGTCCTGAGCAACAAATCACAGATGACCCTGATGATGACCCTGCCCCTGAAATGAACAGAATGGGAAAAGGACAACACAGGCTTATTGGGAGTTTGAGAATCAGCAAAAACATACTGAAAACATACGTTTGACATCAGTTTTTACTTAAAATGAATGCTAAAGGGCAGTATGATGCCAACAACTTGTGTTCCTTTTTACACAAATGATATTTACATGGACATTATTGATGAATTAATTATGTTTTTCATGCAGTTCTTTTCACAATACCAAAAAAAAAAAAACAAGACAACTTAGGGCTCTATTTTTACGTTCCATGCGCAGAGCGCAAAAAGCGGGGCGCAAACGCTTTCAGGGCATGTCAGAATGAATTTTTGCTAATTTACGGACGGAAAAATCCGCTTTCCGCCAAGGCGCATGATCTAAAAGGGTTGAGTTTATTTTCTTAATAAGTTATAGGTGTGTTTTGAGAATAAACCAATTGGAGTCTTATCTCCCATTCCCTTTAAGAGCCAGCAGCGTCGCGCCATAAGCACATTCGCTATTTACAGGATGCAAAGTAAGTCTAAGTGGAAAAACTGAGCATTTCACAAGCAAACAGTTAACAGTTTTTTTTAACAGAAAACTTTTTTAATCAGTTAAACAGAGCATCTACTGCGTGAGAATGAGAGATAATGGATCACTTTCACTTTCGCTCTTGGATAGGGAAACCTTTACGCACAGACATCAATTAGTCTATAAATAAATAATTTTGTTTGTTAAGCGCAAATATTCGTTTCAAAACAATTTCTAAATTCAGTTCTAATTTCCAGCAAATGAATAAATGAACATAATTAACAAAGTGTGTTCAAAAACCTGAGTTATATCCTAAAACACATGCTGTGCCCCTTATGGTCTAAAACCTGACAGGTGGGCAAATCTAAGCTTGTTTTTAATAAAACAAATATAAAAATGGATATAATAAATAATACTGCTAATAATAATAACATTATACAAAAGCAAATTGTTATGAATGAACTGAAAAAGCCTCCCGAGATGAAGAAGACATAAAAGCAGTGATTTTTCATATTTATGTAGGCTAGAAAATAATATGTTTTGTAATATTTTAATCCTTTATATTTATATCCTATATCTATTCTTATTATATCCTATATATCCTTAATATTTAATTTTTTATATGCAAAGATATTTGCCTATTGCTCTCTTGTGCGTATTAAGCAGTGCGTAAGTGAAGCACAACTCTGCGCCGGAGTTTAGACCGGGTTTGTTTTGGTCTAATGAAAAATCTATTTTAGTTTCTCAAAATAGCGACGCGCCAGCTGTCCGCCTCAGAACGCCTCCCTTTTTAGACCAGAACGCCTATGGGTGCACAAATGAGCGCTAATGCATTTGCTATTTAAACAACGTAGTGCAACGCCTCAAAACGACTCTTGCGCCAAGCTAAAACTACCAAACAAGTATTGCGCTGCGCCTTGCGCCCCTATGCGCCGAGTGTATGATAGGGCCCTTAATGTCTTACAACTCGAACAATCATCTGTAATCAAATACATTTCGTCACCTTAAGGCCCGTGCACACCGAGACATTTTTTGCTCCCGTTTTCTGCCGACATTTAACGCCTCGTGACTAAATAAAAGGAGTCAATGTGATCGTGCACACCAACGCGCAAAACAGCCGACATAAAAGTGTTATTTTTTAAAAAACGCCTCATGCACCGCATCAAAACCTTCTCCGCCAACCAGGTTGGCATTTTCGTTCACATGCAGGGAGCTGCTGAAGTTACAGTAAACAGCACTTGGAGGCGCTTAAGCGCAAAACCATTAGTGCGAGCACACATTGAAGAAGATGCCCAGAGGTGATCTGAACGTGGGGCTGCTTATTGCACTGATGAACAATAATCATTTCTTTATCGCTGGAGCTTCAACAGGAACCATTCATGCTTATTTAATTCGTCAGTAATTTAACAACAAGCGTGTCAACTTTGTCTTCTTCTTCTGTGTTACAAGCAGGTGTCAGAAGCTTAAAGTTGTAGCGCCATCTAACGTCAAGGAGCGATTTTGCATACTCTACTGCTCAACGGCTGTGAAAATTGTTTGGGTTTGAATCCGGAAAAACATCTTGAAAAACGCTGACTATAAGCGCAAACAAAAAGCGTCCCAGTGTGTACGAGCCTTTTAGAATTATTATTTCTATCTGACATTTTTGTTTAAATTACATTACAAATTGATTACATTTACTTTTTATTCAAAAAAAAATTTTACACACATTGTTTGCCATATGGATTGCAAAAACTTTGAAGCTTAATATCACAAAATCATTCAGAGCGCAGATAGAACCTTATAATTCCAAGGTGACAATTTGCCTCAACTGTCAATCTCCACTTTTCTGATGTAATTACTTCAACCCAGGCTCATTCTGAAAACGTACCCCTATATACATTTCTGGACAGAGCAAAATATTTCCAATGAGCAACGCTTTTTTGCAGTTTTTGTTGTTGCAAATCATCTAGAGGTCGCTGTGAATGCTTTTTCAGTTCTCACATTTCTCTCATGAGTGCCATTTGCGCCTGCTGTTCTTGAGTAAATCCACAAGGCTGCTGTCAACTGACTGACTGACTGAGCAATCGAATGATTCCCCCACCCTCCCCCTTCCCTAAACCCAACCAATAGTGTTCTAAAAAGCACCTGGACAAACTGGTAACACTGGAAAAGCCATCCATACAGAGGTAAGCAGTCAGCACATTTCCATCATGTTCTAATATCTGCCCTATATTGCATTAAATAAAACAGTGCAAACCCTTTTTAGGCATTATAAACTCCTTTGTGTGTTTAAATGAATAGAAATAACACGAAATGTGGTTCAGTTCACCCAAAAATAAAAATTCTATGATCGTTCCTTTTCTAAACACAAACTAAGATTTTTAAGATGAAATCAGAGAGCTCTCTCACCCTCACAGGCAGCAAGGGCTATGAGATGTTCACCAATCAGTTAAGGAACCAAGAACATTGTCAACACATGTGACTTCTTTAGTGGTTCAACTGTAATCAGACGAAGCTTCAAAATCCCAGTGTTTTCTGAAGACAGGACAAAGGTGAACAAAGTCATACTGAAAGTTTTTATGGCATACAAAAGTGTTCCTGGAGTTTTTATGATTACAGTTGAACCACTGGTGACATGGAACATCTTAACAGCATTTTTCATTCTTTTTCTGAACTTTGAACGTCTCATGATTGTTAGTCTAGAGTAATTTGTGTTTCGAAGATGAACGAAGGTCTCAGGAGATTGGAATAACACGAGGGTGTTTAACAGGGCCGGATTATCCAATGGGCATTATGGGCACAGGCCTATTACACTTTTGAAATGGAGGAAGAAACTGATCCATGATCCATGTACTGACAAAGTCCCTTACATTAATAGTCTTTTCTGATCCTTCCTTTAACAAACCGAAGGATGCCCCGTTGTAAGCGTTGTAAATTCCAGAAGCACTCGAACAGCACAAGGCTGGGGCTATAATGCTGAGGTATTTTTGCAAAAATCACAACCACTGACTCTTCACAGTTTCATCTTTGGGCAGAAAAAATAGCACTAACTTTCCCTCACACTTCCAGTAATATCCAGCAGAGCACAGCATCTTCATGACTTGAATCAACTGGTGTCTGCTACAGTGCTTGTCTTCCTCTTTTTCTTTGCTACTGTTTGTGGGCGCGGCCGCATGTTTCAATTTTTCACGGGTTTGCGCGTGCAACAATTGGGCGGGGCTTAAGTTTCATATCCACGTCATGCCGAAATGGCTAAAGACTCATTATCAAGATGATTCATTTGAAGCATTATGAGTCGACTCTTTTAAAAAATAATCAATAGTTTTAAACACTGTGTACTTTTAGAACTAAGCCTTAGCTGGATATTTCACTTTACTTAGAGCTGTGTTACACACTACATGGAAGGTAATTTTCAAAAATCCATAATAGCTTTTTAAATATTCTATAAACAGCTATTTTCCACCTGGTGTTAAATGACATCTTAATATAACTAATTTGTATTTACAATGAATACACTTTAATATATATATTTATATATATATATATATATATATATATATATATATATATATATATATATATATATATATATATATATATATATATATATATATATATTTAGCACTACTTCAGTAAACTTGAACAAAAAAACATTAATTTTCACAAATTTTATTAGTATTGTTTTCTTTTTAAAATAGGCAAAATC